TAAAAGTCTATTTTTTTGTATTTAATGACCGGAACTATTTAAAATTCTTGCATAGAGCTCTAGAACTTTTCAAGAGAGTATCAGAATCCTAAAAAAAATGTCACATTTTTAAATATGGTGTGCCAAGTTCACACAAGTCGATCAATCACGTGTCAACTGCGTGATCTTGGCTCGATTCGCTCCTCGGCCGACGCGTTTCCCGAACCTGACGTGCGTTGATTCGGCACATAAGAATCATGATTACATACGTTTTAGCAACCGACTTCAGTAACGGTGACACTCAAATTCGAAAGCGACCACTATTGTCTCGCCACCGTCGGCCGTTAGATTATTAAATAGCACATGAACTCTAAGAGCAGGGCAGACTGCAAATAGTTTTCTAACGATAACAGTTTTTCTGTCGAAGTCATCGCACGTTCTCAATTTCGGTTTACGATTCTCTCACTCTCAGGAATTATATTCCGCGTGGTTAACTCGTGCTTCGAGATCACACATACGGCTACTTTGTTAACGTTTGTTGTTAATTAAGGAAGAAAATTGACTAAAGCCCACGACCTCTCGTCTGCTTTATTACTACGAGTTCATTTCCTAATCTGGAAGAGAAGTTGGCTCTTCTTGTCGCCAGCAAAACTCAAGGCGCTATAATTGCGTGCGCAAAGTGTGTGGATTCACTCCCGGAAATCCACGAATTACACGTCGAGGTAAGGAGAGTCACATACAGAGACTGATAATCATTGAAAAAAGGATTTTATTGTCGAAAACTTGATACCCCGGACTATAGTTTGGTTAAAATGGAATTAAATGGAATAAAATTGAATTACCAGACAAACAAATTTAATTGCCGCCTTTTGAGTTGTGCTTTCTCGATGATACATACACAAATAAAAGCGTAGTAACACCAACCAAATCGTATGCATCAAATATTTTAGTTGCCAATACAAAGATAATTTTTTCAGCGTAGAGTATCAAGGTAAAAGCGTTAAAGGGAATACTAGAGTCAAAAGTAGGATCGAAGTTTCGACTTCCTTTGAACCGCAGACGTTGTTCAAGAATGTTCTGAACGAATCGAAGTGAAAATTACATTGAAAAAAGAATTTGGAAACCAAAATTGGCTAAAATATAGTCACTAAGCAAATCAAAATAGCGACAATTAAATTTTTTGAATGCAATCACCAAATAGTTGGTGATTGCAATTCCCATTGCATTGATCTCATTTCAACTAAATTTTGGTCTTGACAACCAAATCCTTTTTTTAGTGTAGAGACTAAATTTCTGAGTATTTTTTCACCGTTTTTTTCCGACATCTTCTCCCGCTGATGTCAACGAGCACGTCGGGAAAATCCTCGTCAGGGAAATCGCAAGCTCGACTACTAACAGACTCGGTCCGCAATCGCGCGGATTAACGTCGCGGAAATTCGCGGAAGAGCCAATATCGACCGCGTCGGAAGTTCGCCATAACTGTTCGCGACATGTCGATGTTTTTTTCCGAGGGAGTTTCTCAAACCGCGCGATTTAATTCCGGCCGAGTCGCGCGCGACGCGGTCGACGAAATTTCGTTGACCGGACGGAATGCAGTTTTGTCGCGGCCGAGTGCCGATGCGCTGTGATGGCAGATTGCACTCAGTGCACCGCGGCTGCGGTGATTCTATTATACGTTGCACTGTCACCGAACGTGTCGCCCGTAATTATGATTGACGAACCGATTTATTATACGCACACATACGCGCCACTTTCAGCGTAATCAGTTACGTGCAAATTATATAAACATCAGCATGTACGCCCCTCTCCTTTCCGCATGTGCATAAACTGCACTCGTAGCAAACGCGTGGAACGCAACTGTTGTGTCGCTCCAAAAAAGGTCTTGCAATCGTACTGAAAATTGCCTAGACGCGAGAAGTTAGTTATACAAGATGGATGAATGGCTGACAAAAGTATCGCGGTATCACGTATGTTTTCTATATTTAATCAATATAGATAGCAGAAACAGAATTTCTGTCTGAACTATTTATAAAATTTAGCAAGAAAGTTTCTCTGTGGCGGCCATCCACTCTCTCTAACGTATAATCCTTCACTGAAACACGGAAAAAATTTTTCAGTTCGTGCAACTGAATGGGGACCAGACGAAAAAACTCGTTGACGAGAAATAATATCTCCGTTACTGCGACCAAAAACACTCGTCTGAACGTTCAGTTGCATCAAAACTCGGTGGAGATAACTGAGAGCAATTGACTGAGTAGAAACCTTCTACAGGAATCTTTCTGTTCCTACAATTGAGTTTTCCATTCTGTTATCCCACAGATAATTCAGTTACACGGACGGAGTTATTTTTTCCGTGAATGCTATACTTATAACTGAACAAGCGTAGCACTGCAATTAGTAAAATCTCGCTGAAAGAATCAGCTGATAGTAGTAGTCATTTCTATAATCGACGCAGTTAGCAAACATGGTGTCATTGCATGCAAATCACATGGAAGCCGTTAATGCTACCGCCAAAAATGCAAAAAGCTGGATTTGGTATGTTGCATAACGAATGTATAGCGAGCAGATTTTACAGTGAAATCTTTCTTTCACTAGTCAAAATCAATGAAAGATATAAAAGGTGAAGCAGTAAAGTGGGAATATTTCCACTGAAAATCAATTCCAATGAATATTCTGTCGGTGAAATACTCCTTTTACTGATATAATCGGAAACATTTTTACTGATTCACTTTAAGCGAGCAGATTAAAGTTAGTCACTCTTGTTATAAAAGTGACTGCGGTAGGCAAGAAGAGCTAACGCAATGAGAGACAAACGAACGTATAATCCTCACACCAAAGTTGCTTACAAATATTATTAGAATCCTGCTGCTGTAAATTCTACGTACTACAGACAATTTTCTAGCAGATATAAAAGAAAAATAACAACAATAAATTTTCACTGTGACATTCAGAACTCCATCTGGACACATTTTTTCGAATGTTTAGAAGAGTCTGAAGTTACTGCGCGATATGTGGAGAGGAATTAGCGAATAATCGTCGCTCTATACACACTTGCGCTACATAATCTGTTAGAATTTTTATATCCGACACGACTGTCTCGATTGCGAGTATGTCGGCGAATTCTCACCGTATTTAACGCGTTGATCGACTGGGAATCGCCTGACTAGTAGCCAGGATGACGTTAAAATATAGTCGCGGGAGTGGTGTACATTAAATTATGTACTCGTCTAAAGTTATTTTCGGATTTCTATATCAGGACGGAATAGCCGGACGAAGTGGTGCTGGGATATGGCTTGAAAAGTCGCAGCTTGCTCCGAACGCGACAGGCGTCCTTGAATGCTAATGAAGGCAACGGATATATTATATTTATATACATCGCGATTTCAATGACTCTACTATATATCGATGATGTAAAGAAATTGACGAAAAGGAGAATAGGAACGTCGTGATTTAAATTTTGATCCATATTATTAATAAAGAGTCGCTCAATAGATTTGAATTTAGAGTTAGATGTGAATTTTTCAACTGATACGCGACTACAAATATAATGTATATTATATGACTCATATGTCTTCCTATATAAAACAAAACAGATCCAAACTTTATGGACGCTTAAAATTAATTAAGAAACAATTTTTATTTTTTACTTGTATCATTTTTTAATAATTGCATCTTTTTTACCAATTTTTTCAAAAGTTAAGTTTGTTAATGAATACATTTAAAGAGAAGAAAATTAACCATGCTTGATTTCTTGAACAATTGCGAAGAGGAACTCAGTGCTGTCTATATTTTTTAAATTATGTATCAAATTTTCATTTTCATTTTTCTTGAAATGTGCTTAGTGTGAGTTGGCTCATTTTTTACATCAATTCATATCCATTCATATTCATTCATATCCAGCGACTATTTGTAATCGTAATTCAGCTAAAAAATTCATATCTAATGTCCGTGTTAATAGTCGTTATTTCAAGCTTGTGTCACATGAGAAAGAATATTCAGATTTAAGTTTAAAGTTGGATCTGAGCTTTTCTCAGTTCAATCACATGATATGTGCGACATTATATCAGCGATTTCAACTCACAATTCACATCTAATTCTAAACTTAAATCAGAGCGTTTCATTTGAGACAAGTTTCAAATAACGCGATTATTAATACGATCCTAACTCTAAATTCAAACTTGAGCATCTCACTTGAGGTAAGTTTCAAATAACGACTATTAATACAAGCCATTACATTTGTAACCGTGATTTAGCTGGAAAATTTACATCTAACCCTAAACTCAAGTATAAGCATCTCAGCATCCTGAGGCAAATTTCAAGTAACGACTATTAATACAGGCCTAAATAATTCGGTCGCCCGGAAGTTTGGCGAGTAAGTTTCCGGTGCGTTATTAAAGTTCCGCGAGTCGAGAGCATTATATTCGTAGACCATTATATTCGTAGAAACAGGGATTGTCCGATTGAAGCTTAAAATATAAAGTATAAGTACAAAGTTACTGCAGATTTTAGAACTAACCACCGTTAAACTAGTCTCGTTTGAAGCGCATCGGCGATCAAACGTATTATAGGTGAATCGAGCGCTCTCCCGAACCCTCGCTGTCACGTAAAGGTGGATGCACGTTAAAAAGGATGGCCCGAGCGAGAGAAAAAAGCGAAAATTCAGACGCGATATCAGAGGGACACTCGAATCACGAGCGCGAGAGAATATCTCTTAAAAATAACCGCGGCAATTTCCGCTGGCTGGCAGCCGCTGGCAATACTTATCCGCGACGATCCAATGATCTGCGGAGAGGCCGAAATTCGTCGTATCTTTCAACCGGTAAGCATGACTGGCCTCGTTACCCGAGTTGTCGAGGATTTCACTGCGCACTCTTTAGGCTCTCGCCTTCAGAGTCGTCGGAGGAAATATGATTCGTGCCGTTTCACTGCGGCCCGCACAGGCGGTAAAAGAAATCATGGGCCGCGGCGAGTAATGTCGCGCACAATCTCGCCGTAAAACATCGAAAGCGCGTCCGACTTACCTTGAGGTAGGACGGTGAGCAAGAGGACTATTTGGAGACCGGCGGCGACCTTGGTATAAAACTTTATTCGCAACTGCGGTAGACCTCCCGTCTGGTGCGCCATGGCAGACGAATTTTCGCAGGCTGCTTCTCGAGGCTCGACACCGATGTTCTTCTACCCGGCCCCGAGCTGCCCCCCGTCTCGTGGCGCGACGCACTGCACTGCAATCTCGTGTTCACTTCTACATACAGCGGTCACCAGCGCGAGTATCGCCCGGAAGCGCTTTGTCGCCCGCTGCGCCACTGATTATCATCGTGCAGGTGTCACGAGTCGAGTTCAATTCCGCGCGAATCGTCCGCTAATCGATACTCGATGCCTTCACTAACGCACCTCCCGACTTCGCCGTCATAACCAATGTTCTTCCGCGCTCCTCGGTTATGCGTACTCGTGGAGCTCTCGATCGCTCAGCGCTGGCGTATTATTGCTCGCAGTAACGCGCTACGTTCGCGCGACGGTGCTTCCCAGCGTTTCGAGCATTCTCGCGGGGGATCCTGAAAATAATCATATCGTACGTGTGAACGACCCCTTCGTGTGCTCTCTCTCTCTCTCTCTCTCTCTTTCTTTCCTCTTCTCTATCGCACGCGGCGTCGTTTCGCGCCGTGCGCTCGCATCGTTTCGCGGAATTAGCGCCGAAATTGTTTGCCACCTTTCACGCGCGCAATCGACCGTTTTCCCTTTTGTCAAGACTCCTCGCGTCCGCCAAAGAGCCGTGCATAATTTTCAGCGGCCGACCGGTTTATCTCGAAGTAAATGTTGGTTCAGATTGAGGGAAGGCAGAATTTTCTTCTCCTCCCACCCGCGAGATATCACTCCTGCATTTGAAAGCAGTATCGGAAATCTTTGCGCAAAAATACCGCAAAACGGAGAGGATCTTTTGGGGAATCTCTCCGGGTTTATTGCGATTGGCGAGATTCCGCCGACCAAATGATAATCCAATGTTTCACTTGCGAATCATCGAGATAACTATCGGAAAGCTACTCGCGCAAATGAGATTTCGATCGAGATACCAAAGAATGTGCAACATTCTGACTCCAGGTCCAAAACGGAGATGGACATTACCATTGAAATTTATACACTAGGAACACTCCTCGCTTCTGTGAAATATCTCCTCGCGGGATAGTGAAATCAAGCTCACTCATTTGACTAATATTCTTGTCCTCTTTCTTTTCGCCGGATGAAACGGTTGCGGTCGTTATGGACGTCGAAGGTTCGGGTGATTTACAAGTCGGGCGGTTGATTTACTATTTCACTATCAGCAAGAAGGGATTTCTCGTATTCCCCTTGGTAAAACGTGCGGTGACTGAGGACGATCGGTTTCGCTGAGTCCCGTTACCGTAAATTTTCCATGTTCCTGGCGAGATCGCATGAATTATTGATATAATTGAAAAAGTGACATATGCACACCCACACACATGTCCGTCTCCGCGGGTAAAATGTTTCTTCGGCCGAATAATTTAGTGCCGCGCGAGAATGCACAAGAAACATAATTAAATCCAGTGCAGCGTTAAATTCAAGCAAAGCTCTTTTAAGCGGCTTTACGTCTTATTTAGATTTTTTTCTTTCTCAAGCTTTCGATAATCCACGCGATGAAATATTTGTTGAAGAAATTAAATATTATATATTATTACTAGACGCAAAAAATTATTGGTGTTAATATAAGCGAGAGAATGATAGAAATGCGAGAAGGGGATAAACGATCTCACTGTGATTTAGCGCTTGAAAAGTGAAACCCCCGAGGAGGAGAAACGTGTCGTAAGGCGTCTTTGTTCCCGCATGTCTATGCAACAGTCTCGAATTATATCAAAGAGAAATATCCCGTGGTGCGCGATAAAAACATGCGAATTAATTAGCTACAGCTCTCCCCGACCGACCAGCAATTGATCACGATTCCAGCGTTACGATGACCTATTTATCGGATTCACGAGGGAGTGCGCGTTAAATGGCACGTCATTACCTCGGGTCTCTCTCTCTCTCTCTCTCTCTGTCTCTCCCTCCTGCTTTCTATCGACACAGGTAGCAATTTTTTTTTTAATTTTTTTTCCGTCTCGCACGTCTCAGAAGCGATAATGGCGCGAGTTTTAATCTCCCATGGGAAATGCGTCGGCGGAGTTTCGATGTTGCGACTTCTGCCAGTCGATACGAACGTACCTGCGGCCACGTTCAGGCATTTGTCGCACGCGTCGTTTTATCGGTCAATTAAACGTACGTTTGAGGGCGCATACGTTTGGCTCCCTCTTCCTGTTTGTGTCTCTATCCGGTCGGCAGGACACTCGAAGAAGATCTCTCGCCGCGAGAGAAGAGCTCGGACAGCTCGCGCTCGGTTTACAGGTGTCCGCGGCGACTACGCTTCCTCGCTACGCCGAATGCTCTCCCCCACGCGGTGGCGTCTGTCGTTACGAGTGCTCTCACCCCTTTCTCTACCGGCACCGGGGAGCTCACTTCATTACACGCTTCCACCCACCACGTCGGCGATTCGATCGAAATTCCCGGTCGCGAGCGCGAAGCAACACAGAGCCGGGAACAAGAGCGCTCGATATTTGCGTGCGGATATTTGCGCGAACGCACAGGAAAGAACGGAATCTCTCCTGTGACACGCGAGAATCGAGGCGACGAGATCCCGTGAATTCGACGGGGCCTTGACGGACGTGGAGATGACTACTCGGTCGAATCTGCGGGCGAACGAGACCAAGTGCGAAACACGTCGCGAACGACGCCGCGCTGTACTCGTCGCGGTTTCCCTCGAGTCGCGAGCACGTCGCCGCGCGATTCCCGACCTATGCTCTCTTTCTCTGTCGACGAGCTTCGAGGGGCGCGGGTGTGCTATCGCGACTCTTGGCTGCACCACGGACCTGCGTTCGCGGCCTGGCCGGCGATCGTCTTCCTCGTCTCACTACAGTTCACCGCACGTTCCATCCTCCCGCGAAGAGCCCAGCACCACCACCTCCGCCTCCTTCCCTGCCTCCTACTTGAGCGGAGCGCAACACGGTGTTGCCCGTATCCAGGCAACTTCGCGGAGCGTGGCTGCTCCCTCTGCCAGCGAGCCGTTCCACGTAGGCAGCGAAATTCGCCGCTTTTCTTCACTGCGTTTTCCCCTGCTTTTATATCCGTTATCCTGCCTTCTCTCCCTCGTCCACGTCGCACTCTCCACCTCTTCAGCAGGGGTCACGCGTTCGCGCGAGCGTGCATTCTCGTGTGTCCGCGTTTGTCGCTCTTCCTGTCCTGTTGCGGCTATCCCACCTTCTCCTCCGCACTCCCATTCGCCACGTTCCCGTCACTCTACGTGCCCTTCTTATCCGTAACTGTTGTTGTCCGGCGTTCCTCTCGCGCGCACGGTTCTACCTCGCATCGCGGCGGCACCGGGTCCAGCGGAGTGCGAACGCGCGCGCGAGTACTACTCCGAGTACGCGATCACCACGGCGATCGCGAGCACCACGACGAGTGCGGCGACGAAGACGTCGAGACGCGTAGCCCCTCGCACAGGCGGCACGTACAGGATGCACGCCGCGATGTTCGACCGAACGTGGCAACTCGCGCTAGACTGAGACAGCGGCTGACAAGAGGAAAGCGACGAAAGATCAGAGAGATGGGGATGGAGAGAAAGAGGTGGCGGAGAGTAACGGAGATAAAGAGAGGGTGAGATGGAGCAAGAGAGAGAGAGAGAGAGAGAGAGAGAGAGAGAGAGAGAAAGAGAGAAAGAGAGAAGGAGAGAGAGAGAGAGAGAAAGAGAGAGAGGGATGGATACACGGGGGATGGGGAAAACCGCTTCGTCCCTGCGAACGGGTGTCCGAACCGGAAACCGAAACCCCCGAAAAAGGAGGCGGTCGGGGTCGTGTACGAGCTGCCGGTCGAGCTCTCGCGACTCGCAGCCACCGCCGCGATATAGACGCGAAGAGCGCTCCCCACGATGGGCATAACCCTCCTCCGCCACCTCCACCGTCGAGCAGCTACCCTCCCCGCTGTCCCTACCTCCCGCCTCCGGTTCCCACCACGATTTCGCGAGAGGCTGCGGACTGGACCAGCACGCAACCAGCGTGGCCCCCACCACGTCGAGAGTACCGGTGGAGTAGAGTCGGGGGCGCGAGGGGGCCGCGGGGGACATCGCGGGGCTCGAGGGGGCGCGAGAAGGCGGGTGAGACACGGGGGTGGCGGAGAGTGCCGGAGAACAGCATCCCCGAAGCCCACCCCACAGATCAATATTGTGCCCACCACCGTGTACCGGAGAATTCGTGCCGTCTCTCTCGGGTGGCCGACGCACGCCACATGTTCCGTCTCTCTTACCCCGACCACCCCTTCGCGAAGCACCCCGTGGCTCACGGCCGTTGCCGTGTGTTGCGAGCGAGCTCTCCCTCCCCTCGCTCCCTCTCCCTTCTACCCCTGTTTGTTCCTCCCTCTTGCTCACCCTTATTCTCGTCTTCTCTCTCAAGGGTAAGCGTGCGAGGGTGTGCGTTGATTCCATCGCGACCGTCGCGAACGATGCTGGGAGCATGGTCCAAGTCCGCCAAGGGGGATTAGCCTCGGCGCGGTCGAGATCCCAGGGACGGCATAGTTTCGGTGCACCAAGGGTGCCGGCAAGATCATTAGAGCGCGTATGAACACCGGGATTGACGGGTGAATCGATGCTTTTCGAAAACGCGCGTCTAAGACGGGGTTGTCCGGGTGAAGGCTCGGATGGACGGGATTTGCTATATCTCGACTAAGGGTTCGTAAGGGTCGCACGATGACCTTTCTTGCGATTCTGCCGGAAGAAATCGAACTGGAGCTGTAACACGCCCTGATTATCATGCCGACTCGGCTCTATAAACATTTGCACGGTAAATTCGCCTTTACCAAAGAAGAATATGACGGTAACATACTCCTTCTGTAAACAATTACTTTGAATCTAATGGAACAGCTTGGTTGTAATGCAAATTAATGCACATTAGCGTGCTGTAATTGAATATGCATGCGCTTTCGAAAATAGGGTATAATTAACACCGCGTCCGGCGTAGAACATTGTAATACATATTCGTGATTATTTTGATTCGACGTGTTGAGAGCAACAGAATATCGCGGGAGACTCGACGGATCAATCGTACAGGCAGTTCCTTTACCAACAGCTGTTCGCTGAGGAGATTGCAGGAACGTCACGCAAGGCGCTTCAGTCAACTAAAGAGTCCATCAGAGAGGTTGTAATTCAATGGAAATAACGTGTTAAATATTTTAATAATTTATCCAACATATACCCTTCTTATATGCATATGTATATAATATTTGACGCACAAAAATTTCCTGCTGAAGAAACAAACGAATTTGCTTTTGTACATTTATGTAAATACGACTACTTTCAAGCTGCCGTCGATAATTCCTTCTCAGAAGTGTTAAAGTGCACTTTACCCTGCGGTACCTAGCCATGAGTATGCAGTGAGGTTGTACATTTTGCAGTCGATAAGGCTGTACCGAGTGTTGTTATCGCGCCTACCCGGATACTGTTAACCGGCGAATCGTCGTAAATACGTTCCTCGAGAAGACATCCTGGTCGAGAAACCAGATTCCTCGCAAATTTTCTATTTTTGTCAAAGGTATTTCCCATGTATGATAATTCAAGTGGATACTTCATATCACACCTCGTATCGTCCAAGTTACAGATAAAATCTACTTTTTTTCACCCTATTTACATAATGCACGTTACAACGATTATCTTTTTTTTAGATGCTAAAAGACCGGTATTAATCTCGAATTCTTTCAGAGCCAATTGAATCGAACGTAATACAGATGCAATATTCAAAATTGCAATGGATTCTTGTACCTGATATTGTAATCAATGAAATTTATTCATCAAATTTATTGATGGTTATCGATTTTGCTCAATAATAGCACATAGTCTGTATAAATTGTGTTAATAATTCATATCTGCATAACTATATTTAACAACACTGATTAAAGTTCTCATTATACAGTGGAACTGCAATTAATAATTTGTAATTGCTCGTAAATAACAAACTTAGGCATGTGCGTACACAAATGCACACACACACACACATACATACATATATGTGTGTGTAAGGAAATCATACTTCCAAACATGTTCGTCAGCTACGACTTATGATTAAACAGTTCCTATTATTTTCCGTACATTATGTATAATTACGTATAAAATTGCCGGAAGTATCTTGCTATCGCATAAAGTTTCGCGCGACATTAATATGCTTAATGGAATATTTTCGTTGCGGTATCACACGTTCACAGCAGAGGGTCCACGAGAGCTACTAACGCGCGGATTCCAGGAGAGATTCAGTATTTTCCCTCCATATATACGAGGTCGTTTACTCATTGTTATAACTTCCTTAGAAGCCATTACAAAGAGGCGCGCTCCTCCATTCTAAGATAATTCGACTGACACAAAGCTGCAGCTACCAAAGTTCACGGTATGGAGAGAGCCGGCAATTTGCCATACGCTACATTAAATTTCACAAAAGCGGACGAACGCTCGCGCTACGCCGGTATAATCACTAATCAAAACTACGTTTCTAGAGCGTGTCAGACATCGCGTTCGTTGCGTACCACTTGGAGCAACATCGAATACAATTACCTACCTACTCAGTATGCTAATTACCGCGAGACGCCGGATGAGGTAATATATCGTCATCTTGCCGCGCGTCTCGTTTCGAGATGGTCAAGACTGAGATTCGCCTCCTCGCTTCCTCCGTGGAAACAATGCGCTCATAAATTCGCGTCGCACCGGCAGATTAATCGGCGCAAAAAATCACCGGGATGCAAATTCGCAACGCGCGCAACGCTTGAAACGCATCCTCTCCCCGTCCTCGAAAGAGCGAGACAGAAACGTGACTTTTAGTGACCACAACTGATTTTGCCTGACCGAAGAGCTCGTAAATATCAACAGTACAAAAAAAGATCTAGTCTATCCATTAAAAAACACAGAAATCACGTCAGGATCGATCCTCATGTTCCCTTCCTTATGTTCGAAGTGGTCAAGGTTACACAAGACGGACGAGCGGACGGACGAATGGACAGACGAACGGGCTGGGAGAATGAGCGATGCTTTGTAGGACGCAGGTATACAAGCAGGACGGGAAAGGTTGCACCTGGCAGGTCTGAGATGGAACCCGAACTCACGCCTCGCATGCTAGCCTCTCTACCGAATCATCCCACTCGCCGTGGTCCATTCCTTACAGTCGACCGTCCCTATTTGAGAATCAGCCTGCTGGCCATGCACTCGCCCAAAATAACAGAAATTGTGGAGAAATCAGGGTTCCCCCCACTCTTCCCCGAGCATTGTGGCGCCTGAAGACGATACAAGGCTCCTCGTCGACGCTATTGTACAACGACGAGTTTGTCACCCGTCCGGCTCGCTGGCTCGCGTCGCCCCGGGCTGGTTTGACTTTTAGCGCTCTTTTCGATCTCATTGCACTTTAATGCCGATTGCACGAGGCACCAGGTGTCACGGCGATACCCCCTGACGAATGACGATCGCTCTCGCACAAGCTCTCTCGATTCTCTGTGGACTTTTATTTACGACGCGCGACGAATCCGATGCGGAACGCTCGGTTAAATGCGCACGGGGACAAAGTTCTCCGGTGTGCTCGAGGGGGTGAAGCAAAACCGCGCGCGCGATCGACCCGCGGGTCCCCGCTCCCCGAACTTTGGGGTCAAACATTCGACGCTGGAAACGTCTATTTGGGTCACTCGGTTCGCGAACAGATCACTCGAAACTTTTGCGCAATTGACGTATCCGGGACGGAATGTGTGCGATCTGTGCAAATATGTGTTTTCCACGCTGCGCACCGGATGAAACGGAAATGTTAACGCCTTCACCTATCCAGCTCGGGCCGCGCGAGTCTATACGACTCGCAGACGGACGACCCGATGTACTGTCCGTTATGATGGAAATAAAACTCAGAAATTGGATTTCTGTCACATAGGATTGGCAGAGGGAATTGCGCGAAATTAATTTTAATGCCCACGTATCTCAGAGTCTCGATCAGTACAGTCCAGACAGACTTTCACGTTTATCACGATGTGAGAAAATCGATGATGGAAACTTTACAGTTCTTTTAATTACATTTATTAAGTAAATATATTGAATTGATCGTTGAATTTATATAACGTTATACAATAGCGCAAATCTTTTAGTGTATCGATGCATTAACAAATTCACTAAAAGTTACATCCAGCTTTTCGTGTTATATTTAACATGACACATTGTTTAGAACGAATTTTGATCATCTTTTTTCGTATTTCTATTTCGTTGTTCTACGCGATAAATATGAGCACAATCTGATCAATCATGAGGAAACTCAATGTTGTTGAATTTCGTGATTCGATATGCTTAGAGTTACTGTAAAGTCACGTACATCAATCTATTCTGGGGAGTATTCGGCAGATCGACGGGTATTTTAGGAACAGATTATTCAACCAACTTTTGGAGTCGGCGTTTTTTCAGCGAAAATATCGCGAGAGACACAAGATCATTATTCGTCGACTCTGTGTTTGAAAATTTTAACCGCGCGCGGCGGGTTTCATCTCCACTGGAACTACCATTTATATAGTGAAATGATGCTAAAATTAAGCAGCAAAGTTCTGTTATCTATTTACGTGTCTGAAACTGAACTTCTCTTGCGAGAAGCTGCGAGATAATATTAATCTCCACGCGTTTGCATATCTCTTGCAAAAGTCCAGCTTTGTAACAGGAAGAAAGGAGAATTGATTAATTGACGGAAAACAAGTGGATTAAATAAATCTAGTGCAATGTGCTGCACACTGGTGTTAGTCATCAGAGTTGAAGTGGGTTACTTTTTCGAGTTAATCGGTGTTACAATCAGCTGGCTCGTTACTTACCAGGTGATAAATTATTTCGCGAACCTCTC